TTACGTACAATCTATAAAATAAACCACAAGGCTTGTGTCAATTTTATAGAAATTTTTTTGAGTTGGACTACAATGGAATTTGGGCCCAAATCACGTTTTACATTCAAAATTTTAAGGAATTCCCAAATTAAATGATTTGCAATGTGTTGAAACTTGAAATAACTCGAGTTGAGTCACATTCGATAGTTCCAAATTCCAAATATAAAACCTTAAAACTAACTTCTAATAATAATAAAAAAAAACTTTATTAAATAATTATTTTTGTAGAGCACGAGTTACTTTTATTTAAAAAAATCATAATCCAAAAGCTAGTTTCATGTCACTTTTGAAAGTTTTTAAGGTTTTTTAGCCTTGATGTCATTTACATCTTTCAAAAGTTTATAATTATTTTTATCTAACGCTTCTAAACAAATAAAAAATACGTAGTATATTTTATCAGCTTACAACTATTAGCTGATTGTGTCAAATATACCTTTAATCTACAAGTTTTTTTTGTTGTTAATCAATGATTTATAGAGTAGACGAATCAACATAGTTACTGAGAAATGTCATATTTTGTTGTTAATCAATTATTTATGTCTTTTGGTTATATTTTGCTCCGTAAATCCCAGACTCGACTCGCACATACGTCCATTCAAGCATAGATCATGCAGAAATGAATAGGACACTCCTATTGGTCAAAAGTTGATTCCAAAAAAATAAAAAAATAAATAAGACATGTTAGCGACATAAAAGCTTTTATTAAACCATGAACTTTGATGGGAAAATGGTCATGTCATCTTAAACAAATCTAATAATTCTTGTCCTCACTTAAAGACAAAGCAATATAGAAATCAACTAAATATATCATTTCTTAGTCCCTTGAATTTGGCATAATAACATATACGAAATTTTGAATTTTAAAAAGTCAAGACTCAACAAGTTTTTCATTAGTCTCCCCTATTTCATCATCATGCCAATTGACTTGAGTTTGTAAAACCACCAACTCGATAGAACGCCCAAACAAAAGCCAACATCTAACTTTGAATCGGTGAATTATAAATTAGTATGTTACCGCTTTGGTATAATGACATATTTGACATTTTAAGTTCAAAAAACTTAGTTAACAAATTTCTTCCTGAGTATCTTGTTTTATCTATGGAACAAAAATCATCAAATTACATTCATAAGAATCATATATATATTAGTAGGTGTAATATCAAAATAAGTAGGAAGAAAGAATAATATTTTTTGTTGTAAGATATTCATATGAACATATTAATGTTATATTTTGTGACAAAGGTACAATTAATGGTTGGTTGGTGTACCTATTTTCCAAACCAACATTCCAACATAGGTTTTGACCTTAGTGGAATGAGGCAAACATGAAAAGAAAGTTGAAAAAAGAAATGATAAAAGGCACTAATTTGAGAGGAGGAATGCAAAGCAAAGTAATGACCTAAAAATCACTAAGGGGATCTTGTCCCTTTGTAGGCTCACTTTTGCTTATGAAAGAAGGTTGTGCCAATCATAATGCTTTTGTACCCTTAAAGAAAAAATTTTAATGGCCGATTGGTTATTTGGGTATTTCCCAAAGTAACCAATCAAATTCAAAGGTTTTCTTATTTATAGCCCTCAACCAATTTCCCTTTTCCCAAAGTGCCTCACAATTTCCCAAGTTTTCAATATTTTATCTTGTTTTGATAGATCATGACAACTTAGTCATCGCTTCTTTCCATCCTTTACTTTTTTTATTGGCTTTTATTGGCTTCTTTCAATATAATGACCTATTGACATTGTAATACCAATATAATAGAAAATAAAGGATAGTGAGATCATGCCTTTATTATGTGGATATCATTACTTTAATATATAATCCGGTTTTGAATTCTTATTTTGGCAACATTTCTAGCATGATGTAATACACTCTTTACTTCTTATATATGTTGACATATTATTTAGACAAAACATCAAAAATGGTTCCTGTGGTTTTCAAAAATATCAAGTTTAATCCCTAAGTTCAAAAAACCTCACAAATGGTCCATGTGGTTTCAAAACTTTTAACATTTGGTCCTTCCGGCTCACTCCGTTACCCTTTAGCCGTTAAGTAAGGGGTATTTTTTTCATTTCACTACCCAGGGACCATTTATGAGGTTTTGTATTACTTTTTTTAAAATAAATAAATAAATAAATATAATTTAATATGCAAGGGGTCCCACCTCTCTCTTTCTCTCTCTGTGTGTGTGTGTGTTTGTGTTTGATAAACACCAAGAACATATTCATATATTCAAGAACAATCAAGAACATATTCCGCCCCCACCACCATTCGAACACCTTCTGCCACCACCACAGTCTGCCACCATCACGATCTTCCACCTCCATCTTCGGCCAAAAAATCATCCATAAACAAAAACAATACACAAAATATGGGTTTGTTCTCGAGTTCACCCCTATCTGATGTATACACACACACACACTCAAAATCAGATTCGATGAACATACACTCATACACACATAAAATCAGATAAGATATACACACACAAAGTCAGATGAACACACACACACATACGAAATTTGATGAAAACCCTAACCGAAGAACGAAATCAGATGAACACACACAAAATTTGATGAACATATGTTTTCTCGCCGTCACCCTTGATGCTCATTAGATCTAGAAGACGAAAACACTAACTGAAGAACGAAGCCGTCATCGGAAAAAGAGATTGACGAAGTCGTCGCTAACAACCCTAGCTTCGATCTATGTGTCAGCGTCGCCGCTACACCACCTACATACGCCACCATCCTCTGTTCCATCCTTTACATCACCACTTGTTCAATCCGGACACACCATCATCACAGAGACAACCTTCCACCAAGATCTGTTGTTCGTCGGTGTTGTGGCGACGAAACCCTAATCGGAGTTAGAAGCACAAAGAGCACCACCGCCACCAAGTCCACAATCCTCCATTTCGGTAACAAACTTGAGCTTGAAGATGAGAGGAACTCGATTCTTTGCAACGAGTGAAACTTCGATCGACTTTTTCTACTTTTCTTGGGGTTCTTAAATTTGGGGTTCGGGGTTTTGGGAGGTCACAAGACATTAACGTGTGGGTTTGTGCAGATCTGTGGTGTTTTCCTTCTCCAACGAAAGAGAGAGAGAGAGAGAGAGAGGTTGGACCCCTTGCATATTAAATTTTATTTATTTATTTAAAAAAAAGTAATACAAAACCTCATAAATGGTCCCTGGATAGTGAAATGACAAAAATACCCCTTACTTAACGGCTAAATGGTAACGGAGTGAGCCGGAAGGACCAAATGTTAAAAGTTTTGAAACCACATGGACCATCTATGAGGTTTTTTGAACTTAGGGATTAAACTTGATATTTTCGAAAACCACAAGGACCAGTTTTGAAGTTTTGTCTATTATTTATGTTCCTTAATCTACCCTAAGGAGTTTTTTAAGTTCGAATAAACAGATCCTGTGGTCATAACTTGATCAAATGATTGGATAATGTAGTCAACAAAATAAATCCCAACTTGGAAGATTGAATATAACTCTGGTGTTAAGCATAAAAAAGTACTTTTAAATTTAGAATGGGAACAAGTTTCAAATACCATCAATAACTATTATATACCAATTTTTAAATACTATCAATAACTACTATATCATCAATAACTCCTATATATAGATATATCATCAATAACTCCTATATATAGATATGACAATTTAATACACGATATGAGTTTTTTGTGTATGAGTTTTGAAAATTCATGGTTATTCGTGTCGACACGAATTTTAAATTTGTGTTTTGTATCTTACACGAGTTATACAAGAATTTGATTGTTTAAACATGTATATGCCACCGATTAAGTTCGTGTGAAACATGACTGTCACAACGTGTATAAACATGCATATACATGTATAACTTTAATAAAAGTAAACATGTATATGCATGCATAGACACATGTACACAAATTAAATTCATTTGACACGCGACATATACATACACATGTAAATATGTATTTTCGTGTATCACAGTTACATACAATATAAGACATATTTTACAATTCGTGTTGTGTAAATTTGTGTTTAACATGTATATATGACATAGGAACACATATTGCAAGGTCTAACTATTAGCAGGTTGGTATGGGCAAATTATTGACATGTTTTTTCTCTTTTGATCCCATAAAATTATGAATTTTTTGGTTAAATTACACAAAATTAATAAGGATACAATATTTTCCAAGATTACCAAAAAATTTGTAGTTCAGCGGTATCGGGTGTTTGTGGAAAGATGCTCCTCAACCTTTTGGTTGAGGGTTCAAGTCTCGCTGAAAACGAAAGAAATATCATAGGGACTTAGAGAGTGTGTTGTGTTTGTTGCTCTATAAAAAAAAAAGTATATACAATTATACTTAAATGTTGGCTTTTGGAGTTTAAATATCATAATACATTTCCATTGATTCTCTCTCTTGTCTTCACCCTATCTATCTTAATTTATACTATGTCTTCTCGAACTAAATAACTAACACCACATGCAAACAAATGTTAGACTTCTCACTTTGCACATATGGATATTTGGTTTATTAAATTCTTTCATGCGATTACACCACCCGTATACCATGAGGGTCGCCACTACATAGTAAAAATACTCAGTGTTGATACACCAATCTGTTTTGGTAATTCATCCGATACATTTACTTATAATAACTAATTAAAAATCTTTTAAAAGATCAAAAAATAATGAATTGGAATAAGGTTTATACCTTTTTGTTGATAATAATATGTGTGGCCAAGTAAAAAAGTTGAATAAATTCCAATTGTATTAAAAAGTCGCCTTTCTCTCGAAGAACCCACCCCCACTCGGCCTTTTGCACCTATAAATACACCCTTCACCCTTTCACCTCTCTTTTCATGCCATAACCACACTTCCCACACTATCTTATCTAATTTTTACCCCATTTTTTTCGAATTTATTGGATAATAAATTCTTGAATTTTCTCTGATTTTAGCTATAATGGCATCAATTGTGTATCAAGGTCTACAATCTTGCCTTGAACCTCAAGTAATCGAATCATTTGTTCTCCGGCAAACCCTATCTCCACCACCACCACCACCACCACCAAAGATTCAAGAACCCCAAAACGGCGGAGAGAGAAACAGTGGGTGGAGTTTTCTTAAAGCTCTTGAAAACCCATCAATGGCTTCCAAGAATTTTGATGAATCGGATGAGGTGTATGTACATCCAATGGTGAAACGCTCGGCTTCTGCATTGAGTACAAAGAGCTTGGAAATGTGTACGGAGAGTTTGGGAAGTGAAACAGGGAGTGACGTTAGTGAAAGTGGTGACGAATTCTGTGCACTTGCAATGGAGGAAAGAGAGAGGATGAGGGGAATTCAGAGGTCAAAGCACCAGAATTTTGACCGCAAAATACGCCGGAGTGACTTTCCTCCGCCCTTGACCTCCATCAGCGGCTCCGACGGAACGGTTAAGGTGAGACATCACCGAGAAGGTGGTCGGTTGGTTATAAAAGCTGTAAGCTTTTCTAACTGTGGTACAAATTTTCAAACTGAACGTACAAATGGGAGACTTAAACTTTCTTTGTTCAAGGACTCTTCTGTAAATTATGAAAGTGAAAGGGTTGAAATGGAACAATACGAAGAAGGTGGTGAAATGGAATCAGATGAAGATGAAGATGATGATGATGATGAGGTGGTGGTGGTGGCTGAAGCGGAAGAAGAGGAAGAGGAGGGTGGTGCTGGTGGTAGTTGGCGGTGGGACATTGACGGAAACCGGTTGAAAGTCGCCGGAAACGGGGAGTTGCGAAGGCTAACAAGGTGCAAGGAGGGTGGAAATGGGAACAAAGTGTTCGCAAACTGGGGTACCCGCTATTGGGTGGCAATTTCTTAAAAAAAAAAAATTAATTATTTAAATTTAGAGAATTTTTAGATTCTCTATTTAATATTATGATTTTAATGGGTTTCATTTTAATTTTATGATTATTTTTGATATCCTATTTATAGGATATTTTTAATAGAATGGTAGTTATTATGGTTATTAAAAATTGCCCATTTTACTTTAACTAGTTTGTCTTTTCATGAATCTTTGACATCATAGATTATGTATGTCGTTCGAAAAAGAAAAAAAAAAGTTACTCAAGTCATGTGAAAAACTCAATTATGAACGCTAATTCGTTTGTACATGCACTCAAGTTAAAACTCAAAGGAGCATGTTTCACTATGATATAAGTCATAACATTCCAATTATCTAGTTCAAGTTATAAAAAAAACAAACACGATGAGTGGAAAATCTGACTAATTAGGGCATGCTAATTGCAACATACTTTGAAATAGTGATTACCCGAAAGACAACTTGGATTGCTAAAAACATGTTCAATTGATATGTATAAATTTGGTTGGATTACCAAAATTAAAGACATATCTTTTATACATGTCCCATCCGATACCCATAAATGATGGTACCCTTGCATGTGTGAAGCTACGAGGAAGCTTCCAAGGTTTATAGTCGTTATCATACCAATTATCTGTACGATTTTGATTACAAAATAAGCACATACGTTTTTAGTATTGGAAATATAACATTCTCTTACTTTTGTATTTTGTATTTTATATGTTTATTTATTATTATTATTATTATTATTATTATCATTATTATTATTATTATTATTTTTTTTTTTTGCTTCTATGAACCATGTTATGTTATTACAAAAAGAGTTATCATGTTAAGTTGAATTACTTGTGACACTAAATTTTAATTTTGTTGGCTTAATCAACTAAAGCCATTTTTTTTAATGTCAAATACAATATATTACTAAACTACTCATAAATCAACCTATGTCTCAGACGAGACTTGAACCCTCAACCTCAAGAAAAAAGAGCAACACCTGATACCGCTGGGCTAGAAGCCCATTACCAAATAAAAAGGCATATATGATTATAAGTGACAAAAGGGATACGGTAGATAGGTTATGTAATGAGTTAAAACATTTTCATATTTAGGATGAGTAAATACATGTTATGTTAATTTGTCAACCCCTCTATGTTATTTTTCATACCAGCATCATCTTCAATCCCAATTTTGTAAGAATGAGATAAGAGAGGAGGTAATAACTAAGAAAACCTTTACCCCAAGGTTGGAAGACTGCTTTCATTAATGATCTTTGACATACGAGAGATAAATGAAGAGTGTGTGTCGATACGAGTGATCTCCTACATATGAAAACATTAGCGTACATTGGAAAAAGAACAATGTTGTATGACTAAAGAATAAGAAACCAGATGAAAGTAATACAACAGTAAGTAAATGGGTACAATGTTAACTGTAACACCCATTACTTAAGGCTAGGTGTTTTGACATGTAAGTATTAAGATATCATAAAAGAAGGTTTATTGGAACATTATATTAATGAACCAGATGTTAAAGAATGTGATTTGATGATAAGTTCAAAATAAAAAAAATGAAATTATCTTCATACACATGAAATTGCATAATAAGAAAAGTTGTTATGGAATTCGTACAGATAATGTGTAACGTCTCAAAATTCTAGAATGTTTTTTTTTATTTTTAAAATAGAATAAACAACAATTTTTATAAAGTTAAATTCTAGTCAAACCATTTGTTCATAAACCATAATTTAAAATCAGACTTGCAAGGAAAATAATGTGGAATCTCGAATAAAACAAATTGTTGATATTTGTGTGTACAGTCCCGCTTTCACCATCCGATAAGTACCTGAAAAACATTTAAATCTACAGCTGTAAGCCAAAACTTAGTGAGTTCCCCCAAAATACTTCACACAACAATACACATACAATACATGAATACATGAGCCTTCAGTCTGTCTGGACCGCCTCGCAAGGCCTACAATATGCCTGGACCGCTTTCCCGAGACTACAATCTAACTAGACCGCCCTCGAGGCCTACAGTATAGCTGGATCGCTCCCTTGGGCCTACAATCTGACTGTACCGCCTCGTAAGGCCTACAGTACACCTGGACCAACCGGGTATCTTGACCTATAGCACAGAGCATGATCGCCTTAACCCAACCATAATATGTCAACATATTCAAACAGATAAACAATAACCAACAAAGCACATGTAATCATATATGATCTACAAATCTAACATATCACTACAACATACCAACATCCTACACACAAGGATACATACTACAATACAAAGTATAGTGAGAAAACTCACATGAACTAAACAATGGAAGCTCAACAACAGAACTGATGTGTTTTCTAGGTTATAAAAAAATTTCATGTGGTGAAAAAATACTTAAACCCTTAAGTTCACATACAACCTAGAAAGGATCTACGTTTTCTCTATTGATAACATTAACATATGAACATCATGAAACCCTATATAGAGGCTATGAAAATCAAAATTAACATAAAGATTAGGGTTACATACATTTTGATTATTATAGAAAATAATCAAATCAAAAATCCTCTTGGAGTTGCTTGGAAAACAAGCACCAAAAGCTTGGATGCCTCTAATGGCTCACACCCAAAACCCTGTCACTATAAGACACTTGAGGAGAGAGGAGAATTTCGGTCGTAACCCTCTTGGGAGATATCACCATGATAATTGATGCCCAAAGGGTCCTATTTATAGTTTAGGTAACTAAGGGATAAATCAATATTTGAATAATTAAATAATAGATTTAATTCCAATTCAAATCATTTCCTTATTAACATCGATGAGGCTTCTGGAAACCCTAGAAGGGATCCCAAACCCGTCCACCCTAGGATGGTTCTAGAATTGTCTCTTTTGTTTAACTATTGAACAATTACAATTCACCCCTTGCACCTTCAATTAATCCCAAATTAATTTTGAATAATAATTAATTAATTTTAATACATTTCTCATTAATTTATTAATCATATAAAATAAAAAATCAATTATTTTAAAATTGATCTCATATTAATTTATTAATCACATAATAAATTAATAAACCAACTATCTATTTCCAATTAATATATTAATCATATAATATATTAACAAATCATTTTCCTACAATTTCTAATTACTTTATTAATCATATAATAATCTAATAAATTATACTTTTCTCTCCTAATATCATTTCTAACTATTTGTGGTCATGAGAGCAACCCAAAAAAGACTTTGCTTCTAATTCAAGAATATACCAATTTAGTTACTGGCTTAGACACCTTAATCCAACAGTCTCACACTTGGATTGTAACACTCCAAATCAGGTAAACCATTTTAACCCTTTTAAATGATTTAGTTGGCAAAAATGGTCCTATTTTGTACGTTGGGCGTACCTAGGGTACGCTTAGCGTACTATGGAGGAAGGATCGCGAAGGAGTATTGCGTACGCGGGGCGTACACGAAAGAGGACCAAAACCCTAATTTTCGGACTTGACACCTATTTAAGCATCCTTAAGTCATTGGGACTAAACCCTAATCCGCCTCTAGATCCTCATTTCATCCCTTTACCTCAGTTTTCCTTTGAGAGTGTGATTTTGGAGCATAGAAGTGTGTTGGTGGCCATTTTGGAGCTTATTTAAGAAGAAGAAGTTAGTGAGCAAGCTTGGAGTGGCATTGTGCTTCAAGAATCTGCATCTAGTTCACCTTGAAGAGCTTCTGGAGGTATAAAGTCTTGATATTGCCATCTTATTCATTATATCTAGTTAGGGTTTTCCATATTGTCCCTTTTGCTGGTTCTTGGACCTTCTCTTGAGAGTTGAGCAAGTTCAGAGACTGAAATGGTTAGATCTGAGCTTTGTGAGCATGCTAGATGCATAAAGGTGCTAGCTTGAAGGTTATCTAGACTCCATGCATGAGTTTGAAGCTTAATATAAAGTCCTAATGTGAAGAATGAAGCTTTGAAGTCCCATATGGCATGCAAGGGCATAAAGTTGCCAACTTTATGCCCTAGGACGTCTTAATGAACTTAGATCTGATATTGGATGTGAGAACATCAAGTATTAAGCACTTAATGGTCATTTATGCATAGCAGACTAGTACGCCGCACGTAGAATCATGTACGCAACGCGTACGGTTAAAGGAGCCAGTACGTTGAGTGCACAGGAGTGGTACGCAAGGCGTACGCACTCAGTTGGACTGTGGGCTTATTTTGGACTTGTAAGCCCTTTAGGCCTTAATCAGTTATTGGGCCTGGTCATATTTTGAGTTGGGGGTCCAATTTATCTGTTTTGGGCCATGGTTGCTATGGTTGTGCCTTATTGGGCCATAAGGCCCATTAATAGTTTTCGACATGGACTCTAAGCCTATTAGCAAATGAAAGACTTTTGGGCCACTATGGAAGGAATTGGGCTTAGGTAACTGGGCTCTTTAATCAGATTGTATACAATCCTAATTTTGGGTTAATGGCATTATGGTTCAGCACGGATGGTTTCAGACTGTTAGGCGAGCAACTTTTGTGTTCAACAGACTAAGGTGAGTCTCCTCACCATACCAATGGGTCTAAGGCACCAAGGCCGACCCATTTGGTTAGTTGTAGTGTTTATTGTGGATTCATTACTGATATGTCTGGTATGCATGTATATGAGAATGTGTTAGTATTTATTGACTAGATAGGTGAAGACCCTGGGGGGAGCCCGTGGCAGTTGGATACAAGACCAAGTGGGGGAGCCCATTTCATTCCAGGTAAAGACCATGGGGGGGCATGGCAAGTAGTTAAGACCATGTGGGGGAGCCAATGGAAAGTAGTTAAGACCATGTGGAGGAGTCAATGACACATAGGTATAAGACCCTGGGGGGATCCCATGACCTCCTGGAGTAAGAACCTGGAGGGAGTCCACGACATCCCTATATGTTTATATACGTGTTATGTAGTATGATAGTTATTTCTGTGATATATTGTATGATAGTTGACTTTGTGTTATTTGCATGGAAGA